ATCAAGTAAATTTGTTCCATTCTTGCCGTTAATGATTTGCGTCTGAGAGTAATAGTAGACGGGGAAACCTGGGCCACAATTATATTTCACCATGAAATCGGTAATATTGTCATTGTTGTAATGACCTGGTACGATTGAACTGGTACTTTCCGAATCAGCAAACGTATAGTTCCACAGAGTGGCATAACTTTGACCATTAAATGCATACACCGTGGAATTGAAAGAAGAGACAACAATGTCATCAACGTTATCCTCATTTAAATCCACCAAGATGGCTGGCACCATAAAGCCCGATGATTCACTTCGAATCACCGTAATGAATTGATTCTCCTTTGAATTGTCCATGATTGTATTTAATGGAATCAGATAAACTCCTCCCGGAGAGTTTTGCCCTCCAGTAATCACTAGCAACATCTCAGTGCCATCGATTTGCGTATGAACTTGAATGGGTACGTACAGTTCTTCACGGTTCGGCGTTTGAATGGTGCGAATGATTTTTCCAGTTTGACCGGATATGATTTGCATATGGCCGGCAATAGACGTTTGATCCGATAAACGATGCTCTTCGACTCGTGCTGCCACCACATCTGGAACGGAATCTTCGTCCAAGTCTCTAATTGCATTTACAGTGTACAAATCAACGACTGGTATCGGCATTGGAATATCTGAAATCACTATATTCGGTCTAAGGTGCCATAAAACATCACCGTTTCTACCATTCAGCGCTAAAACAAGCTGGAAAAAAACACATAGAAAAATTAATGTATTCACAAATTCACGTAGTTTCATGGGAAAAATAAAACTGCAATGTTGCAAACTCTTCACTTACCCCACCGCGCCCTGAAACCACGCAATCAATTTGAGCGTCGTTGTTCAAATCAGTTCGGCAAATGATTGAAAAAACAATCGATGGTGTCCATCGTTGCCACAGTGTATTTCCCGTGATGCCATCCAAAGCCAAAATTCCGCCCTCACATGCAATCATTTCACGGTATCCATTATTTTCGATCTCACATTTCGGAACACCTCCATGACTCTCTGACTGATACTGAATGCTGTCGTCAACACCATAGCCCAATACAATATCAGCGGCCCCATCACCATTTATGTCCACTGTTCTAACTGGACTTTCGGTGCTGAGCCGTGTAAATGCTTTGCTCCATACTTTGCTAACAGCCATTTGTGTGCACGGTGTTTGTTCACCCAAAAACAATTGACCCGTTGGCATCGCATCAAAACCAATGCGAACTTTATTCAATGCAAAACTAAGTTTGGTGTCATGGAACAGTGATTTCAACTTTTGCAATGACATTGGGAACAAAGCCATCAAAAAGATACCTAAGATAGCGATAAGTAATAAAACAAGCAGCGCAGCAAATGCATAGCAGAAGGGTTCACAGTATCTCCAGCAATGGTTTCTTTTTCGAAATATTGCCGCCATCGCTTTACGTGTTTTCGATGGTTTCAACAGTGGTTTGCTACTGGAACGGCGTCTGGGTGCCATCAAAGGTCGTTTCAATCCTTTTTCTTCGTACGCCTTCGGAAAGAACAATGGAAAACAAAACATATGTACATTTGGGTGATGTGTGTCAAATACGATTTTTTCTGCACTTACTTTGATTGATTTACCGTCGCGAATGAAAACATCGTCTTCAACATCATCGCTTAGATCTTCGTCGAAACTCTCTCGGACAGCGACCTTTGTCGATGGCACGTACGGTTTCATGTTTAACATATTGCACAAATTCAAAATGATACCAACTACCTAAGAAACTACGCAGCGAGATTTGGCTTCTTTTACTTACAAATATTTGTAACAAATTTAATTCACTTTTTTCTTTGTTGACATTGATGGTGTGTTGTGTTTTATTAACTAATTTCGAGAAATCTCGAAACGAAAAATCATACAATTTGAGATTGAGGTGTGTGTGGAATTTTTTTTTTTTCGAGCTCTTTCTTTGACTACGCTGATAAGAATGATAATCAACCCTAACCAGAATTGTATCAGAATGTTTTGCGACTGACATTCGAAAAATCGATATTGCCTACGTAGCTATACAGTAGAGATGTATACATATGGGAGACAATTTTTGCGCCGGCGTTCTAAACAGTTTATGAACTATTTCGCAAAAGTGTCAAAACAGCCGCCACGTGTTATCCCTTTTTGTTTACAAAGTCCAGTCAAAGTGGTTGTCTCTATACAATATGCATAATGTTGATGCAAATGAATGGAAAACATAACAATTACAATTGTACAATTTTTAGTTTAGTCGAATTCAAGATCTGATTCTTGATTAATTTTTTCGTCAAGTTCAGCTTTTAATTGGTCGCGTGGTATCAGTTTGATGGAAAACAATTTGACGATATCGGATTTGATGCATTCCCACTTGTATTCCGTCAATTTCATTAGACGATTGGGCCACACGGGTTTCAAATGCCTGAATTCATGGTATCGCGCTGCTGCCAAACACATTGCCGCCAATTTCGATGGTTGGACATCGTGCTGCATCGATAAGTCTGTAAAAATATTGAGAAATGAAATGAAATTGTTTGCTCTTTTCTTTCAAAATGAAAAAAAAAAAATCAAATAAAATTTGTCGGAAAAATCGAATGAACAGGCAAACAACCATAAATAGACTCTGTTCTGCCTATACAAAAAGCATTTCCTTGATAATGTTATTTCATTTTGAATTATGCTCACCAAATAGAGCTAAATCCAGGAAGTCCATGGCCTGTGATTTCATGTGTAGTTTGAAGTCTTCAAAACAGTCATACAATGCTTGATTGTTGTCAAAGTCCGTTTCATCGACCACAAAATCGGCATAGTACTCGCAGAATGTAGACGCCGTCGGTATGTTAATATCCCAGTCAAACATTTTCAACATGATCGACTCCAAAATATTGAAATCTTGTTTCGAGTAATTGACACCTGTTGAAAATATTCATATCAATGTTCCATCAATGCTTTAGAGTTGTTTAATCGCATTTTACATACTTGCGCTCAGTGCCTCAACTTGTGGCGATGTAAAATCCTTTTCTATGAATTTTGCCGCAATTCGAATAGAAGTCAATGCAACCAAATACAAACGCCACAATCGAATCATATTGTTGTCCATAAAAATATCCATGATATAAATTGCTGCGAAAAAAAATAATCAAATGTTGTTTATCTGAGTCAGTCAATGGTTTTCCATTTCGATAAATTCCCAAATCAACTTTACCCAAATGAACGGTTTCTCTCGTTAATTCGTGCTTTCTTGCCACATCCATAATATACTGTAGCAGATGCATTCGCCATTTGATTTGAGGCGCTTTCCCATCAAAACCGATTCGATCATATTCTCGTTTGCGTAGAATGGCGTGAATTTCGTCAGCATATTCGGTGTATTCTGTACACCACCACTGTTCGCTATCAAATAAAACAATAAAATACACGAAATTGTAAAAATTAATGCGATTATGATTTTCGAATCGTGACAGCCTACCTCTTAGATAGCATAATGATAATGTTATTTTTTTTTGTTGAAATGGCCTGCTTTACGATTTATTCTTCTAATTTTCTCGATGCCATGTGCCTATTTGTTGGTAACCTTTTTTTTGTTTCAAACAATGTCATCGAACATCATGATTTGCAAATGTTCGATTTCACAGTGCGATTCTAACGGTTTGTTTATTTACATCGGCATTTTTGGGCATCTCATCTATATACATTCCAACAACGCACACTAACATCAAGTGTATGACGACGCAATATGCGACTATTTCTCTCTTGTTCACACCTGCACAAAACTGCGAAATATTTTCGCAACAGTTGCAAATTTCATTCGAATTGGTCATTTCAAATAAACAATCGATATGCAAAGTGAAAAAAGAAATCAGTGTATCGCTGTCACAGTGCTGCCACCTCAGGCGGAGAAAAGTAACTCGGCTCACGCACACATCCATATACACAGTGCAAGTAGTTTGAGTGTTCTATGAATGTAAACAAAAAAGAGAGTCCGTACATACGATGAATAGCAAGCATTATTGCCAACTTGGCCATCGTTAATGTGATGGTGTGTGCATGTGTGTATGAGTCAATGTACGTGTATGTGCATTTGACATTGCGAGCGATAGTAATTTATTTATCGTCTCGTTCTTGTTTGATACACAATTTTTTTACGAGAATTTTTTTTTTGTTTCCAGTTCAATTTTCCGAACACGCATTGTGATTAAATAAAATGTTTAGCTTGATTTAGTTAAGAAATATAGTTTGAAATAGAATAATTTCCGTTCCGGTTTCCAGTGTAGACGGTCGCCTTCTGCCTGTGACGGAGAGATTAGTGAAAGACAATTTGTCGGACTAGTAGTCGAGGTGGCCAATTGCTTGTTCGTGGTTGATCGACCTACCGACCGTCCGACAAACAAACAATTATCCAATCGATTTTTTAGGCTACACCATCACAAAATATTGAACGATGGAACGACGAATAAAACTGCATACGCTGAATAAGCATATCACTTGTGAAATATGCGGCGGCTACTTTATCGATGCGACCACAGTCACCGAATGTTTGCACACATGTAAGTTTTCGTTGTCATTTTTGTTTAAACAAAAAATGAATTATTTAAAAAAAAGATTATATCCAATTGTGATTGTGATTTTGCGGTTTCAGTTTGCAAAAGTTGTTTGGTGAAACATTTGGAGGAGAACAATACGTGCCCGAGATGCGGTAATGTCATTCATCAGTCACATCCACTGCAGTACATTAGCTTTGACCGAACCATGCAAGACATTGTTTACAAATTGGTACCGAACTTGCAAGGAGGTATGCTATTTCGATTTTTTGTTGTTGCTAAGTATTGATCTCCATTGGTGATGCTAAACGATTAATGTCTGGTTATTTTAGATGAAATGAAACGTGAACGAGAGTTTTACAAGAGCCGCAATTTACCGAATCCAAAGGATCAACCACAAAACATTGAAGACGATGCTTTCGATCGGCTGAATGAAACACACGTCGAATCTGATTACCATCGACAGGACGAACAGGTGAACGTGTGTTTAGAGTGCATGACCAACAATTTAAGTGCATTGAAACGACGGTTCCTGCGGTGCAGTTCACAAGCAACGATAACACATCTCAAGAAATTCGTTGCGAAGAAAGTGCTAAATGGAATTGAAAGATACAAAGAGGTAAGTAAAACGGTGTACGCCTCGTTCGGTGATTAATTCAAGAATTTTCTCCTCTAAATCAAGTTTTCTATTGAAATTACTTTGCTTTCAGGTCGATATATTGTGCAACGATGAACTTTTGGGAAAGGATCACACACTGAAGGTAAACATTGAAGCATTTTGAAAAGCTGATTAAACTTTGGTCTTTCCGATTGACCTACTGAAAGTGTTCTTATTCATATTTTTCCCATTTATTTTTCAGTTTGTGTATATTACACGTTGGCGGTTCCGTGATCCACCACTCAGGCTGCAATTTCGACCGCGGATTGAACTATAAAATTTATCGCATTATCACCCATTTTTTTTTTCAGAAGAAGAAAAAAAAATCACCTTTATCTATGTTTTTTGAATGTGTACTGATTATACTCCGAATTCCAACGAATTTGTGAAAACAAAATATGACGAAAAGAGAAAAATACATCTGGTTTTAAGATGACGATCTATCTAAATGTAACTAATTTTATAAGAGAGCAAATCACAAAGTTTATATAAAAAGAAAAATATTGTAATAGAGTATAAAGAAAGGAGAGACACGCACGAGTGAAATGTTCACTGCTCACGATACGATGTAAATGTGTATGAAAACTTTATTTTAGATTCATTCATCAAGTAAATGAATAACAATCGAAAGAAGTAAACAAAAAACTGAATCACTTTGGAATAGTGGTTTTATTGAATGTATTATAGAATGGAAAATATATCTACTTTGAATATGTATTACGAAAGATTACGTTTCTTATTTTCTAATATCCAAAAGTAGTCATTTTTGGAAAAAAAAACCATTTTCATTTTATATACAGATTTTTAAATATATTTCCATATCCCAAGAAGGCGCCGTTGTGTTCACTAGCCAGTGATGTTAAATTCGAATGAATAACTTGAAGGAGGAGAGCTCCAGAATGATGATTGATTTATCTGCAATAAAATGAAGAAAGTTAGATAAAACACTCGCATAAGTTGATATAAAATCTGGCTTAAGTCGCAGGCTACAACGCACAGTGCAACGTTACATTCCAACTTACATGATTACAAACCGTGATATGTCCAATTATTGATGTTTTGATTGAACAGGGGTTCTTGTCTTTCCATCGAAAGGAGAATCGATGATTAGGTATTGATTAATGACGTAAATCAAGTGGTTGGTGTTGAAAAGTTTGTCATTTGCTTTATATCATTTCCAGTCTGTTTGTCAGATAAGAGAAATATTATGGAGAAACATGAAATTGAAATCAAAATAAATGATTCAACAATTCAAGACACATTGCAATCAACGAGCAGTTTTGATGGCATTCCAGTTGAGAGTGCTGTACATTCAGTTGCAAGGTTTTTTTTCCGTTTCCTTTGTCTTCGGAAGTAGTTTCAAAATGATGACCACAGAAAGAATGAAGTTAGAAGAGAATGGAATGAAATGACAAATGACAAATGGATTTTGTGCATAAAATGACCCGAAAAAGTGCATTGTTTCTTTTTATTATTAACTCATTCAACAATAATAATTCAAATGGCGAGATTTTCAGTGTTTTTTTTTTAATCTTTCGTTTTTGTTCACATGGAACGTGCATACAGTAGGATGAAGAATATTTTATACATATAGTGATTAAGTCCACATTTATTATGTAATTTTGCATAATTTATAGTTTTAGATTAAAGAATGTCAACAAATCGTGTCGAAATTGTATGTTTGATGAGTTTCGTTAAAACAGTTATTTATTTAGGATGATTGGAAATTAGACCAACTCCAACCGTTTCATTTCTTTGTGCAATTCACGGCCCATTTGAGCTGGACTCCGGGTAACAATAACGCCAGCCTTTTCGAGAGCATCGATTTTGTCTTGAGCACCGCCTTTGCCTCCGGAGATAATGGCACCTGATGGGAAATGATTTTGATTTAGTTGCAATGAAATGTGCAAAAATTGAATGTGAAACACTCACCGGCATGACCCATACGACGACCTGGAGGAGCCGTTAAACCAGCGATGAATGAAACAACTGGCTTAGCGCGAATACCCTGCAAATAATAAGTAATATTTTTTTACTTTTCATAATCACTTCAGATGAGATAAATATTACGAATATACCTGGTTGTGTTGCAACAAGTAGTCGGCAGCTTTTTCTTCGGCATTACCACCGATTTCACCAATCAAAATAATACCTTTTGTTTCTGGATCTTTTAAGAATACTTCCAAGCAATCGATGAAATCGGTTCCGTTGAATGGATCACCACCAATACCAACGCAGAGGGTTTGACCCAAGCCAGTCTCAGTGGTTTGGTTAACCGCTTCATAGGTGAGGGTACCTGATCGAGATACAACACCTACGATACCTTTCTTGTGAACGGCAGCAGGCATAATACCAATTTTACACTGGAAACAAATTATTCGATTAAAATTCAATTGCATTCAATGGTGGGAAAATAGCATTCGTTAATTTCATTTAAACTCAATTTGCTTTGAAACCAATTCCGATGGAAAACCGCAAACTCACCTGCTCTGGTGCAATGATACCAGGACAATTTGGACCAATCAATCGGCTCTTCGATTGACGAACTAGTGCATGCTTGACACGAACCATGTCATGCTGTGGAATACCCTCAGTAATGCATACAATCAATGGTACCTCGGCTTCGATTGCTTCCAAGATAGCGGCGGCTGCACCCGGTGGAGGAACATAAATGACTGAAGCATCGGCTTTTGTTGTTTCTCTCGCCTCGCGAACGGTACCAAATACCGGCAAATTCAAATGCTCCTGGCCAGCTTTCTTAGGTGAAACACCACCAACAATTTTGGTACCGTAGTCCAAAGCTTGTTTGCTATGGAACGTTCCCTGTTTACCGGTAAAACCCTGAACAATCACTTTTGTGTTGGCATTCAAACGCAAGTTTGGCCGTGTTGATTGGTAAATTTCCGGATTCACACTATAGTTTCGCACTGATGACAGTTTCAAACCATCTGAAAAATATAATATTTTAATGAGAAATTTATTTTCAAGAGAAAAATACATGGAAATAAAATCATCTATCTTATCTAATTACACCTTTTTTAGTTTTTCAATGTTATTTCGAACGAGAATTGTATAAAAAATGACACACCTAACAAATGGTATGTCAAAAAGTGAAAATTTGAAATTAAATCACCACACTGAAATACTGAAAATGTATTTTATAATGTTCATTTTATTTTCTCCCCCGTTAATTATTTTATTATTTGAATTAAAACCTCTGTACGTCCCAGTAGCAATAAAATCCGGTTAATTATAAAAGATTTTAATCATTGGGCTAATCAATTGATGTAATCAAAAAGAGACGTAATGACTTGGTTAATGAAAAAGACGTATCAAACAAAAGTGAACACTTGTGATGCAGGTCATGTATTATCGCCAGAAAAAAAATAAGTTCAATGACAAAAAAGAAGAACAAGCGAGCGAAAAGGCTAATGCCACAAACAAAACAATCGAAAATCAAACTCCTATTACCAAAAATAAACCATGCATGTATATGTTTGACTTTCACAATAAATTCTTTTTTCTCTTTGCGAATTGAGGCTGAGCGTATATTCAATGCAAATTGCTTAAAATTTGTGCACATATGTACGAATCATATCACAGCGAAAAATGTCAAACGTATGACGATGTTGCGATTGTGAACTTTGAATTCCATCGAATGGAGAGGCAAAAAACAATTTGTCAATCATCACTTTTTTTATTCACTTATTCCGATTGTCCGATTGCCCCTTTCGACCGCGTAACACTTGGATTCGATTTTTCAAAAGAACACATATTATATAATTTTTTTTATCGTATTTACCTTTCACGTGCCGAAATATCCTAGCTGAGGCTGCCATTTTTTTCCTAAACCAATGTTCTTCTATACCTGTTTAATAGAACAAATGATCACCGTTCAAATGGTTTAAATCAAATTGATATAAAAATTAGGCTCTATGCATGACAATGGTTCAAATCGCGACACACCGAATGAAATTTAGAGAAATAAAGTGGATGATTGAAATCTTACACTATTGGTACGGTGGAAGTGTTCTGCGATACTGTCAGTCAAGAACAACTTGCTCAGCGTATGTGTCTAAAATTCATGTGACATATCGCGGTCGATGTATGAATCAATGCAAAACATAGTCGGGTGCGTTTAAATATCTTGCGCTCCCGCTACGACAGTAGGGTGCGTTCGATGCCAGCCGCACACTCATTGCTCTGACTACACTGCTATCAGATCTACTGCTGCTGCTGCTGGTGCAATCGCAATCAATTAAAGCACAAACAACAAATCATGTGCGAATATATACCGTAAACAATCGCATCAATCTCACTTATAGCTGTATACACGTTTACGTAAAAAGCTACAACCAGTTTTTTTTTTATTAAAATCTTAAATCGCTCATTTATTTTCAACAGAATCAAAATACAGATTTTTTATGTGTATGTACAATTATGACATTTTCTTTCTCTAATATTTGCGCTAAAAAATAGTGTGTGTTTGTTTTTTTTCTCTTGAATAAAGTTCGAAGACTGTAATCAACGGTTTTTGTATTTGTTCGACGCGAATGACATTGATTCAAACGGTTTCTGCATAATGCATTAACGAGAATGTTTCTATTTTTAAAAATTAATTCCTAAATTGCTCTTGAGCATCCAATTTGTATCAAATGAATTCGATGTTGTTTGGCTTGAATCAATATCAGACTCGCCAAGGATTTCTTCAAGTTTTCCGCATTGGATCGAACGGTTCAAATGACAAAGTCACTCAAAAATTGCAACAAATTCTTAACTACATGCTCAAACTAGCTGCTCCCAAAGGTCTTAATGATTATTATGAATTCCAAGTTCTTTCAGCTCAAGTTCATCATCAACCGAATCCTCATCGTCTGATCCATGACGTGATCCATGGGGTGTTGTGTGCCGCGATGATGATGGCGATGGTGGAGCTGACAATGGTCTTGGGTAGTTGAAGTTACTTTCCAAATATTCCATGCCACTTTCGTCCACATAATCTGGATAAACGGCTTTCAAAGCTTTCACACGAGCCTCACGGTAGTACTGTTGAAAAGAATAACAAAGTTATGCGAAATTAGAAAGAAAATTTCATGAAAATACAATTTAAAACTAACATTCAGTTCAAGTCAACACATAAACCATATCCACTTACAATTCCCAAGTTTCTCCAGTCGAGCAAATCGCTCAAACGTTCGGTACGATTACGTTGAATGATACGCTGGCGACGGCTCATTTTGGCGAAGTCAAACATAAATGTAGACAATTGATTGATACTATCGTCCAAGCCGATGTATCGACGATCTACGATATAGATGCCATACGATTTTGGATCGGCGATATGCTCTTGCATGAAGCAACCGAAACCAGATAAATTGGTTGTAATACTTGGAATACCCATGACAGTACATTCTATTTTGAGAAAATGCGAAATAAATGATTTCATTTGAAATTTGAATAGACACAATGTGAGTCCTTACCTGCAGGAGTATATCCCCAAGGTTCATAGTATGAGGGGAAAACCTGTTCAATTCGAAAGAAGAAAAACGGTATTTATTTCGAGATACAGCGAATAATTTGATAATATTTCAATTGAAGCGATTCTTACACCCAAGTGGCAACCGCGTACAAATTCTTCATAGTCCAAGCCAAATAGTGGATTGGTTGAATTCAAGAATTCTGGATGGAAGACAATCTTGACACGATCGTGCACCGTATTAAACAAGTGGCAACGGCGAACGGATGACAAAACTGGATCGTTCCAGTCGTCAACTACATTGTGTGTTGTGACCGGTGGATGGCCAGTGCGTTGAAGTGCATACAAACAACGCTTGATTTTCACCACTTCGTCTTTTGTAAGCAGTTCAGATGAGTTTGGAAGATTACCGCTAAAAATATATCCAAAGAGTACGCCAATTAGTGTCAACATTAAATGTTAATACATTAAAATGTGTATCTTACCCGAGGCATGTGTTGTACATGCGTTTTCCAATATCCTGTTGAATATTGTTTATGGTATCCCGTAATTGCTTTGTGACGGCATGACCGCGAAGACTTTCTACATTGAAGTTGTTAGTTTTGGTTGGGAAAATTAGGAATGCAACTACGGTAACGTCTGGCAGTTGACTTTTTAGGAGATGATTCAGACGTGCCAACGATTCGATGAAGACATCAGCACCTTTGTTGCCGAACTCATAACGACCGGCAATGAATAAGTAGAGTGTTTTATCCAAATCGAAATTGATATGACCATAGAAATGGCCTCGTGTGAATTCGTGGATTTTCTCCTTTGAAATGGCGTGCAAATTCTGGAATTCGTGAATGGCCGAAAATTTCTTAACATTCAATCCGTTTGGTGTGATAATATCTGGTTTACGTTTCAGCAAATGTTCCGATTCGTAACCGGTAATTTCTGAGACGGTTGTAAAAATGTGAGCCAAATGCGTGGCAGCACGTTCGATACAATATCGATGGTAAATTTGACGTTTTCCGGCCTCATCATCAACCGAGAATTTATCGAGATTATTGTAAAAGTCTGTGTTGCCAGCACACAAGTAACGGCCCAACAAAGTGGCATGCGTAGTGAATACGGTGGCTATTTCAATACCTCTGGTTCGAACAGCAATCAAACCGACACCAGCTTGCCATTCATGGAACTGTGCAACAACTCTTGGTGGACCATAGCCATTTTGTTCTGTATACTCTTTTAAACAATGAGTGAATTCTCTGAAGAAATCGGCTATCATGTAGCCCAAAATAACGGCATCATTGCTTTCAACATCTAAATGTGGTATGCCAATGCTTGAAGTCTCCCACAATTCATTTTTGAATGTATCCATTTTCCATGCGGCCGATCCAATATCGAAAAGGATTATCTGAGGATTACCATCCACTAACCATCTTCCCGTAACAACCTAATAGGATACGGAAGAGATTTCATTTTGAATTAATCGAAGAAGAAAAACAAAACAAATTTAATCAAGTTCAATATCAAACCTTGTAACCCTGAGCGCGTAAATTGTTTACAGCGCCTTGTAAGGGATTGCCCGGTGGGAAATCGCATTCTTCAACCTCAGTACGAGCGCATTGCTCCTTGTATGGACCAAACAAGCAGTAAAATTCACCCAGCTCTTCAGTCGATACGAACGCCTTCGATCGAATCACAGTGTAAATTCCGCCGACTTTATTGGCGGCTTCCCAAGCGACCTCAAACGTCCATCGGTTTTCACGATTTGCTGAATGGCCACGATCCAAAAAGTCCAACAAATCTGTTTTTGATTCAGCGCGAGAATACTTCTTGCTCATCTGTTTATGCAACCCAATTGACGTACAATACAATTTGCAAGCATATCAAAGAAAAACGAAAACAAATCAAGGAAATAAGTGATTGTTGGATGAAAAACAACGAACGAAGAGAAAAGAATATCAGATTTGTGCGCTTTTAATTGCGAAACATGCATATTGTCAACAGAAAAACTTGTGATTCTCGTTTTTTGTTTAGAAATGATGTTAAAAATAATCTGGTTGGGGATCAGAGCAAGGAGTCGTCGACGACGACGACGACGACGACGACATCGTCAAGCGGTTTTCTATACAAACGATACATTTGATTGAATAATGCCGACGCGCCAGCCGCGATACACCACGGCATCGGTGACGCGATCTACACTATCACGCTGCATGTACGTATATCACCCGATATACATGCGTACGCTCGCCTGCCTCTTTGCATCAACTTTATGTTTATTTTTATTTTCACATTCGGTATTTTCGTGCTGATTAGTCTTTCGAGGGCCTTGAAATTACACCATTTCTCTATTCGCAATGCGCACTACCGAGTAAAACTAATTTCGAAAACGATATAAACACATGGTGTGTTTGATCGTTGGATCGGGTATTTAAATAATGCGCAGAATGAAATGATAAATGAAGTGACACAGGAAAAAATATCTGCCGCAATCGATTTCAAGTATTTTTCCGGGTTTTCTTTTTCTTTGCATCTTCTGCGATGGGAGGTGAGCTCTTGCGTGAATGACAATTAAACCAGAATGTCAGCTCGAAGTGGGTCAAATTGATAATTCGCGGTCCAACTAAACTATATTTAGTTTTCTTTCCTCGTTCATCCGACTCTGAATTTGTTGTATATTTTCATTTAATTGCACCGCACACGAGCAGATAACGAGAGAAATAAGAACGATTAAAGTGATTGCGATTTATCTCTATTAATTAAACGGCTCTTCCCCACTATCGCGACGAAATGTTTACAATTCAATTTTTTTTTAATAGGCAAGAATATTCATTATCTCGAACATTAATGTAATTTGCCGCGGATAGAATAATGATGAAACTCACTAACTTATCATTTTGCACGAGAAGCAGTTTCTGAGCGGTCGGTCGTCCAATTGTGTATTATTCAATTGGATTGCAACAAAAAAAAAAAGAGAGAAATATTCAAACGACAAGATGTTAAATGCATCGCAGTGCAGAGAGGGCAATGACAAAAAAAAAACACGAAGCAACAGCCTTTGAAACACAGTCGACTGAGTGTGAGCGAATCTGTTGTTGTCGTCAACGACGCCGCCACCGCCGAGTTTTCCTGCTTTCTTTTCATGTCTCGTTCATGGCCATAACACGCACTTGAGAATTCAATGTACGCATACATTGGTACAGCCGAGTATGAAGTGACACACGAATTCAAAGCGGTTAACAGTGTGTCGCCGAATCCGTAGTTCTTTTTCTCGGTTTCTCATAGCATTGAAATAAAAGTCAAATAAAGGTCATTAACTAGCCCTAGATGCCATTCAGCTGAGACACTCGTTGTTTTGTTATTTTCACTGAGAGTTCACTATAAATAGGCAAAAACATCGCACTCTATATCAAATATTATATTATCGTTTGTTAAGTAATAATCTGCGATAAGAAATTTTTTTTCCGGTAGAAAATCTTCAATTAATAAATGTTTTGCTCGCCTAACATTTATAGTTTGATATTTGAGTGTTTTTTTCTTTCGAAAAATATCAAATAGAAATGAACCAAAATTGAAATTTGTCATTTCAACACAACGATTATGTTAATCCCAAAAGCAAAAACAAGATTATATTTGTAATCAAATCTCCAATCAGATCATATTCAATGATCTGAATCTATTGTGAATTTAACGCACAAAAAAAAACTCTTTTAAACACGGACCTTTTCTTGATTTTGTTTTCAGTTGATTGAATTCGTCTCAGGTCACAGTTGCACTGAACAATTGTTAGTCAATAAAATTACTTGCTAAACAGTGTCACCGAATTGATTGACTGGAATTAAAAAAAAAAAATCTAACAGAATGTCGATGTGATTTTCGATGTGGCAG